TCTCGATTCTGCTACCCACCAACTATTATTATACAAAATCTCGATTTCGTAACTGTTTTTCTACTCTTTTTTGTGACTATTCTCTTCTGATTTCTTGCACACGTTTCTTGTCTAGTTACGAGTACTTTTTATTTTCACCCAAACGATACGAGAATCCCAATTACGGACCGGACACTTGTTGCATGTGAAATGGGGACTGTGGCCTGGCTGGTTGGGTCTGGAACTTACGATGAGCCTCCCAGTGTCTGTCTGGCGGAGGTTTTGGTTATGCCAAACACATCGCAGACATAAAATTCTTGTTAACGTGGCTAAGACACTAAAAGGTTATTAAACCTCTCTCCTGCCGGTATGCAGGTATTTCAACCACACAAAAAGAGAGTCTTGTTTTCGATTGTATCCGACTGAGTCAGCAGTTGTTAAATTTAACTCCACCTCTGGATATGTCTGTCGTTGGCCCTGTCTTTGGCATCACTCCCTGCGAAGCTTTTTTAATTAATGTCAAATTAATGATGCCGTTGTTAACTGTTTTCGCCTGTTTACCTGCTTTTTGCACTCTCCGTTCGCTGTTATGTAAAGCAGTTGGTGGTAAGATGCAGGGGCGCAGCATCAGCAGCAGCAGGCACACAATTTAAGGGCCGCCACATACCACCAGACCAGGCCCTGTTATTCAATAAGCGATCACAGAGGGGAGTGGAGTGTGGACAGATGCAGAAACAACAACCTCCGCAACGACAGCAACAAAACGGAGCATGCTTACGGATATGAAATTGCTGGGGAGACAGTCCGCAGCAACCTTGCCTTGTGTGCTCTGAGCATACTCCAATCCCCATTCAGTTTGTAACGGGAATAAAGAGGATCAACAGGAAACGGTCAATATTTGCTTAGGGAATGAGTAATCAGAAGATTTGGAGATAAGCATTCTTCAGTTGAAGTCGAAGAGGGGCACTTTGCATAGCGGTAAATGTGTCAAGAATGCATTGGGAAGTGTTAATGATTCTCGAAGATCTCTTGCAGCACCTCCTACAAACCTCCTTCTCCAAGAGGTACTTCAGATATGTATGTAAGTTTCAGGTCTATGCGATTGATCATCGATTGTTTCTGGCTAGCGTTTGTTACCTATTTTCCATTCAGTCTATCAGAAAAGCCACAAAGACTTGATTTATGTTCCCATGTTACCTTTGAATAGAGCAATTGATCATCAGCACGAATCTGTCAATCGATTTCCACCTTTAGCCCATAATCAATGCCTGACCGAGACCATATGGACCAACGGATAGCCCCAAGTCAGGCCCATGTCAATTAATGTGTATTCGTGTCCGATCTAGAAGGAATCGTCTGTTGTCTGTTGGCTGTTAGCTGGTGGCGTGTTAATGCAATTTATTCGAGTATTTCGAGTATATGTATTGCATAGCTATTTCCTGAACTTGAAAACGAGTTCTGTCGTGTTCTGTGGTGTCGCGCAGAGTGCCTGAGGCAAATGAGAATATGAACATAAAGGCCAACGTGGCGTATGAGCATTTTGCAGCGGGTGTACTGGAAAATTCTTGGAATTGCCACAGATTACAATTACATTTTAATTGCCATTTACCAATTGCCAATTGGAGTCAACAACTGAAGTGGATTCGAGTGGACTGCCGAGGAGCGAAGTGGCGGCGACTCGGGTGAAGGTTGTCGTCGTGCCACTCGGCACGAAGATGCTGCAAAAAGCGGTTCACCTTCTTTTGGGTGCTGCTTGTTAAATTGGTTGCCGATTGCAGGTTTTTTTCTTAGTTACAATTAATTTCTGCGCTCTGGTGTGATATAATCCCTCAATCTCATCGGAAAGCCCGAAAGCCAACAAAAAAAGTCTGATTATTATTATTATTTGCTGCTTCTTTCCCTCTGTTTAATCAACTGTTAAAACTGGTTTTTCAATTAGAGTGAAAATGTTGATGATATGATGGCACTGGGCACTGGGCATTGGGCATTGGGCACCCCAAAGCGCGTTGGCCAGGTGAAGAGTGAAAATCGTTTTATTTTATCATCATTTTTGTATATTCCATGATACCATGGGTTTTACGGATTTACATAATTTAGTTGCCCTCGATTTTGTGCTTGTGTCTTGTTGCTGTTGTTATTGTTTCCGATTTGATTTAAATTTGTAAATTTGTTTTAACCTTTTTTCGCCAGCTGCTGTGGGCTTTGTATTGGTTGGAAAAGGTCGATCGTCAATACGAGTTTACAGCGTTGAGTGACACACTTTTGATCTGTTAAAAAAAATCAAATAAAACAGAAGGCAAATCAACAACGCCCCGCCACGGGCTTCGATAATGGTCCTTCGCTTAATTAACGCAAAACTGTTTTGCATACTAACTGGCCAAGCAAAATGATAATTTTTGCTAATTTGAGTTGTGTTTAATCAATGCTTGAACCTTTTCTAGCACTAGCTAAAGCTGTCCTTAATCAGCACAGAAATTTAGCTGGAGGCTCCACTGGAGAGCAAAAAGAGAAATTGCTGGCTGCTTCAGTAAAACGTACAAAAACGGAATTGTTAATGAAGGAAATGCTGTTGGTGTGGTGTGATGGCCAAGACAATAAACCAAGTCGAAGTCAAATTCGAAGTGGAAGTCGGAGTTGAAGATGAGCCTGTAAACTGTAAAAGAAATGCATAACCATAAAAAAAATCATACAAAAACGCGAGCTGTGGTTGCATAACGCACCCCCCTCACCACCCTTCTTCTTCTTCTTTGTTGCTTCTTCTCCTTCGTCTTCTTCTCCTTCTTGCTCTCCCTATCATCGTCATCATCAGCTTCGATCCGCACAGAGGGACGCACGCGGGGTGGGCGGGGCGTTTAATTTATGGCAAGCCAAGAGCATCGAAGGCCTGCAGCAATAACGGACTTTCTTTTTAGTATAACTTCAGTATTTAAGACAATGTGCGTGGCTCTCCATCCATATGTGTGCGTGTGCGTGTGCGAGTGTGTGCGTGCTGAAGAGTATTTGCCTTTGACTTTCAATTTTCATTTCCATTTGAAAAACTCATCTGCAATCAGCAGCCATATGTGTCTGTTGCTTTTTCAACATTTTTTAACTGTTTGCCGACTTTATTATTATGCAATTATTTCTTGCGGGCTGCTTGTCAAAATCCGCCAACTGTTTTGTGGTCGCTCTTCTGTTGATCATCCCACCAGCTGGGCCCCCCAGGGCAACGTCACAGCTCTGACACCTGGTTGAGTCGCTCGTCTGGATCACCTTGTCGCCATTGACGTCACCCGAATTGGCAATAACTTACACACATATTCAAACAAAATGGAGCGAGTGTTTGTCTGTCTGGCTGAGAACCAGGAAGCATATTCGAGAATCTCAACTACAGTTGAGAAAGGGAAGCCCGCCGCAACTTGTTCCACAGTGGTAGAAAACGCGTGGAAAAAATTGTCAAGGATTCAATTGGGTTGCAAGGGAACATTGCATCCATGAGGGATATTTTATGCAGTTAACTGGGAAGTTGTGTGAGTTGTGTCTTGTGTGCCAAAAGACAGGGGAACCCAGTAGATGAATAAGGACTTACAACTATTTTTCCATGAAAGGGAGATCCACTTTAACTAGAATGAATTACCATGTTTTCCCACCATCAAATTCTCAGAATTAAAGCCTCTCATCTGTGCATAGTTTTCCCTAGTCCCATCGTCTGTGTTCCACTGTGCAGCAGCAGCAGCAGCGGAGGAGGCTGTCCTACCTGCGCGTTTGTCGTTGTCCCGTGTGCAATTTATGCAAATCGCCCACTTTGCAACTAGTTCACTTACCTCAGTTTGGAAAAAGTAAAAGTTTGCTCAAGTTACACACACACAGATACAGCACACACCAACACACAGGCACACTGGTGATCGTAGGGAACTTGTTTTTTGGGCCACTTTTTGGAGCCTCAGAGAGCCGCTTACCTTGATTGGTGATAAAACTTATTTATGCGTCGAATTCGTACCAAAAAAAAAAAAAAACGCACAGAAGAAATATTCATTTTTGTGCAGCTAAATAAATGTGTAAAGCATATGAGAATTCATATGTGTCTGTGTTTATTTTTGTGGTATTTCCAGGCAAAAATTTGCAATGCTTACAATTAATTAGCAGCTTTTTCGATTTGTTTGGGGGACGGCGCAAAGAGCCCCCAAGCCCAAGCCCATGTCGCACCCTGAAGCCAAGAACCAGTTTTGGCATCTCCATAGCCAAATCTCCTTGCCTCCATCTCCATCGCCATCTCCTTCTGCGTGTGCTGGTGCTTCTGCATTTATTTGTGCGCATACAAATTAGCAAATCTTGAGAGTCATTTATACTTTATGTGAGTATGTTATAGACTAATATATCTAATTCTAGACCGGATCGACACTTTGGAGCGTTCGGTGTTAGGTGCCCAAAATGAAAACCTGAAAATTAACATACATACATATGAAGGAGGTGCTTGGTGGCACCGGGGGCAGAGGGCTCCAACTCCAACTGAAATCGAAACTGAACACCGAAAAGAAAAAAACGCGTTATTGTTATTCAAATTTGCGGCTTATTTTTTCCTGTCGGATAATTCCGAAAAACTGGTTAGTAAGTCAGTGGGTAGCTAGCATACAAATTGGGTTGAATTATTGTTGCTTCGCGGGGTATCTCTCGGTTTCGATTTCTGTGGCTGAGCAACGCCAGGGTTCGGTTCGGTTCCATTTCATTTCATATTTCTGTTGCTAGTTGCCAGCTACATAAACTCTACAATATTCGATGCCTAATCCCCCATCCCATCTGCATTTATGCATTTTTTGGGGTGTTTGATGAGCGAATGGGAAAAATAATAATGAGAAATCCATAATTTGTTTTCTTAATGTTTTTTTTTATATAATTTTTTGTGGTTTTTTCGTTTTTTTATTTTTTTATCATTTAAATATACACATACAAATTAACGTAAAACTACAAAAAGACACAAGTGTGGATGTTGTTGTAGATTTTTTTCTCTTGTTGTTGGTGTTGTTTTCTTGTTTCTTTTTTCGGTTTTAGAGTTTTTCTTTTCGTCTTTTCTCCATCTTGTTTTAACGTAACCGTAACACAGCAAAGACTTGCCCGGGGGAGGCGCCCAAAAGCGCCTCAGCGCTTCCTCCTCGCGCATCGAAGTCAGTCAATAAAAATATAAAAAAAGTCTTGCAGGAAATTCAAAAATCGATTGATCGAGTGGTTGGATTGTGATAGAACTTAGAGATTGGTGGTTAGGCGTCCAAGGGGGCTCGCCAAAAGGGGGACAGGGACAGGTACAGGGGACTGGGACGGGGGAAGATCATCTCGCTCGCTGACTTAGAAGAAACCATCGCCAGTGGGATCGTTGACCCATGGGTAGTTATTGGGGCACCGCACGCAAGTCTGCAGGTTGATGGTCTCCCCGGGAACCTCCTTGGAGGTGAGCTTGCAGGTGTTGGGCACCCAGCAGGCGGGCTTGCCCTCAACCACGCACTTCTCCCTCCAGGGCTCGAAGTTCTTGACCTCGCTGATGGTGCGTGGGTTCTGCATCCACTGGATCACCTGGGTCATCGTCACGAAGTACACGTCGTTGTGGTTGGCCAGGATCTCATCGATCCAGTACAGGAAGGCGTCCAAGAACTCGGGATTGTTCTTAAGCCAGGCGGCGTGGAAGTACAGACCCAGTGGGGCGCGGTTCTGATCGTAATGGCGATCGAAGTTGTGGTTCAGGAAGTTGTAGAACTGATCGCCGGTGAGGATGTTCGAGCAGGAGTCAACCATGGCACAGCCGGGCAGGTACTCGTCGTTGGCAGGATCCTCGCGACGATCCAGCTCGTTCATGACCATCTCCCAGACGGCGTGCGACCTGGTGGGGCAGCTCTGCAGGTTGCCGTGGCAGCGGTGGGGCATACGGAAGTACATGGTGTACGGCCACAGTGGGGGATTGGACAGGGGCGCCGTGATGGTGGAGTCGTACAGGAAGGCCTGCTCCTCCATCATCGTGAACTGATTGTTGCCACCCACCCGCAGGTACGGTGCGCGCACACCCACAACCGAGTTGTCGGTGATATTGGCATACTTCTCGGTGATGATCCTCATGCCGGCCATCTCCTTGGCCCAGTCATCGACGGTGGCGTTCGACCAGAAGCGCTCCTCGTCGTTGTGCGTGATCGAGTGCACGGCGATCTCGTGTCCCTTTCGGGCTGTCTCCTGCACGGCCGAGTAGTTGGTGTACTTGTGCGAGACGAAGTAAGTGGCCTTGATGTCGCAGCCGTTGGGGTTCTTGCGACCCTTGAACATCTCCTTGTACAGCTCGATGTTGTTGTTGTTGATGGCATCGTCAAAGGTGATGGTAATCATCATGGGCACATCCTTGGCGGGCAAATCCCCAGGGATCGAGGTGCCGTCCTCCGAGCAGAAGCAATCGGGCAGGACACAGACAGCGGGATCGCAGGGAGGAGCACGATTGGGATCGTTGTCGATATCTGTAATTGAAAGAGAGAGCATATAATATAGAATTAGATCATTTCTTATGCTGAAGGTATCCCTCTCCTCTTGGGAGTTTATTGGTCTTTAGCAGGAACTTATTTGTTGTTACATTTTTATATTATTTCTGTGATTATTTGTATTCTGCCTGCGCTTGCGAGCTTACCGGCAAAAGTTCACTCAACTTTTCACATAAATATTTAAACAATTAGCTAACTGTACAGAGTTTGAGTGTGGTATGTGCCTTGTGGCTGTGATTGTAGCTTTGGTTGTGCCTTGTGGCTGTGGCTGTGGTCGGGGTTAGTTCAATGAACCGACACAGTCTGGAAAAGCAATCAAGAGAGGTGGGAAAACCGAAACGCAAAGTGAATGGAAAATGTCTACACAATCTTCCACTCGAAGATTTTTATATATTTTTTTCATTATTATTTTAGATGTTTTTTCATTGTTTTTCTGCTTTGCTTTTTGAGCAATTTTCATGCCTGATCTGGGATTCAGTTAGCGTTCCACTCAGTAGGTGACTGACTGCCTGCCCCACCCACTAAAGACACCACTCCACCCACGTGCTGGCCATTCGTTTGTCGGCCATATGTAAATGAGGACTATCTGCTTTCGGTGAGCCAAAACCAATTGGTAAGCCTTGCACTTGCCACTGTTCGCGGCTAGTTGGTGGCTCGTCGAATGCGAATCATTTGCGAAAGTTTTTATAGAAATTGGCGGTAATTATTTTGGAGTTGTCTCATTTGGCATTTGCCTTTTGCCTTTTAATATTTGCTATTTGCCGAGTGAAATGGCAACGTGTGGCAGGCAAAGGCCAAAGCATTTTGGCCAACAGCAAGAGCTTTTCACTTTTTTTGTATTTTTATTTTGTTGGTTTGTCTTGAATCTGCTGCCGGCTTTTGCCTCTCTTTTGACCTTTTTGTGCGGCATCTCTGCTGGCTGTCGTCTTGGCCGGTTTCCTTTCCCTCACTGTATTTTTTTGGTGTTGCTTTCTTGCACATTTGCCAATAATCTGTCGTTAAAGCCAGGTGTTATGTCATCTCGAACCGGTTCGGGACTCAGTATTCAGTATTCAGCATTCAGCATTCGGCATTCATTGCTTACCATATTCCCGGCTATTATTGACTTATTTTTTAGGGCTTTGCTTTTATTTCTTTTACTTTTTATATTTACTCTTTGTTTTGTATCTTTTGCGGAGATTGTGGAACGGGGAACGGCTGAGATGTGTAAGCTGGCTTATTGAGTCCCATTAATGCCATTTCTGAAGAGGATGTGGCCACGATAGAGATGGATTATGAGTGTGGTGAAGTCGGGACGGGATCACTGGAGGTGATTGATAAATAATTGTGGGGAATTTACGTGTGTCCTAAGAGGATTGCAAAAGCCGCCGATTGATTGGATTTTGATTAATTTTCCCCTGACATTTCGCTTAATTTGTAAAATTTCCCACAATTTAATGCTTGCCAAATTTTCTATTACACTTTCCTTATTGCAGTGCCCGCCTCTAGTACTAAAAACCTACAAAGTATGACCATTTAATCACTCTGCCCAAGTGCCTGCCATTCATTTTGGTTTGCGGAGACGTGTGCTTCCTCATTGCACTGTTCCCCACGGCGTCTCCAGGTGAGTCGGAGGCTAAACTTGGGCTTTGGTTATTCAATTGTTTATAAGTTAATGGTCCGCTGAGCATTTCAAATGTTGCGTCTTCTGGCTGTGCATTTTCCTCGCATTTTACCAGCGCGATGTGCAACAATCCATCTCAGAATGAGCTTCAAGCCCGAGCCCGTCGCCAGTGGCTGATGGCTCGATCCGTGCGGATCGGCATTAATTAGCTCGCTAAGCCATCGTTTATATGCCACGTGAGCCTCTTGGGAAATGTCGCTCGTGTCAGCACAGATACTAACTTACTTTGTATATTTATACTAATCGCATCGCAGAGAGACCCACACGACACGACCCGATGCCACGCCAGTCGGTGTCCGTTATTATTGGCATTATTATAAATTAGCTGCGTTTTTTACGCTGTCTGCCGCTGTTCGATGTTTATTTTATTTATCTTGCTGTTTCGTTTGGCTCCGTTTTTTGCGGCTTTTTTTTGCAATTGCTAAAAATATACACAAACAAAAGCGAATGCTGCGAATGGAATGGCATGGCATGGGGGCTCTTAAGCCGCTTATGTAAGGCTAATTTACACATGAATCGAACGCGCTTCGGAACGCCTATGGAGGGGCACTTTGTTGTGCTTCGATTTGATTTCTATTAAGTCCAAGGTTAGCGCTCTTGCGATGTTGTTAATTAGTGATTTAATATTTCAAATGCGCTATAACATACGATCAGTACCAGCAATATATCTTGGTAATTCATGTGAGAGATCTCACGGACGAACGGACGGTTGGTGGGGGGGGGGGCTCCAGTCTTTGTGTCTGACATTTCGTGTTCATTTCACACTTGACATTTCCACCCGAAAGTCGATGCCCATTAGAGATTCGAGTCGGGGCCGAGACGCCGCTAAGGGCTTTACGAAACCGGTCGTCTGGTGGGTGCCGTCCCTCGGATCTGTGCAACAATGCAACATCAAGAGTCCGTTGCTTGTGGGCGTCATTGGCATCCATCCCAATGATCCCCGCTGCATCTCCCGCCGTCCCACGATACTCTATCCAAATCCCAGACAGACACTTGTATGCCGTTGTCGGAGTTTTCGAGAGGCGAGTGGAGTGTCTGTCGTTGTAATGGTCGCATTGAAGTAATGTCTCAAATGCCGTCAACCGGTTTTAAGGTGCGACTCTTGTTGCGACTGGAATAACTGAAAGAAATTCGACTTGGCGCCCGGCCAAAAAGACAAGACAAACGGACAGACAGACATATGCTTGAATATACAAATTTGAGCCACTTGAAGAATTACATTTTGAGCTGATGGAGTAATAATACTCTCGGTCTATTTCGGCAATATCTGGCGGCTTACTTCTGTAGATGCCATTCCAGATAATGCTGAATCCCCGCTAATGCTGAATCATTGTTGTCAAATGTCAAATTTAATAGAAAAAGTGCTCCAAAAATTAAATGACAGATCACTGGATTATATAGGGTAGGGCAATTGCTATGTTCGATCCTTGATCCTCATAATAATTTACCTAATTTTGGTGGGCTGTGGCTTGAGAGCATTAATCAACAATGAAATGGCCAAAAGGTAAACATCATTAATCATAGTATTGATTTTTTTGGGGATATAAGCAGGGAACTCTCATCGCTATCGTTGCTATTTTTGCTGGTGCTTAAATTCTATTCCTAATATTTATTTAATTTCTTCTGTGTACTCACCACAGGTGTTCTCATCGGAGCCATCGGAACAGTCCTTCTCGCCGTTGCAGAAGAGACCGCGCTCAATGCAGTTGCCATCGCCGCAGGCCAGGAAGCCATCCTGGCAGAGTGGCTCGTCCGTGTGCAGCAGAGGCTTCACACGACGCTCCTTGTTCTTGGACTTGCAGTTCTTCACAGACTCCTTCCAGTCGCAAGTCTGCTTCTCAATGTCGAAGTACAGACCGGCAGGACAGCGAATGGCTTGCAGGCCCTGCAGTTATACAAAGAATATGGGGAAGAAATTAAGTGTTAGTCGCTGATAAATTAATGAAATCGTGTGACTGTGCTGGACCTACCGATGAGGTACACTGTATGACGTCGCGACAGTTGTCGCCTTCGCCGGCAACGAGGCGGAACCACTCGCCGGCATCCTTGTCCTTGCAGAGCTCCTTCTCGAACGACTCCTCCTTCTTGGTCTCTTCGGTAGTGGCCTGTCGCTTGAATCGCAGCAGCGGATCGCTGGCATTGGCTGTGCGGATGAAAGGAAGGAGCAAGAGGAAACCAGAGCATGGTTGGATATGTCAGTGAGTGAGTTGCCAAACCGGAAGAATTTCTATTGCGAATGTGGGTTGGGTTGGGTTGGGCTGGGCTGTCGCCATGTCGCCATGCCGCCATGCCGCTGGCACTTCCTGTTATAAAAACACAGATCGAGTCGGGCACTGGCCGGGAATGGCTATATAGTATATGGCTTAGATATAGACATGGCATGTCGTCTGGCTGGTTGTGTTTGCCCAGAAGAAAACACGTTTGCCATTATGAAATACGATGTCACCAGAGAACCAACCGTGCGCAGAAACACACAAATATCTATCTGTATATCTGTCCGTTTGTCTGCTTGTATGTCTGTCTGTCTGTCTGTATTGTATAGAAACAAAAATTGTTTCATGGCATTCCAAAAACTTGTTGCGCTTGCGCTATAACTTTGACATTTTGCATTTCGCTGGCAGTTGGCAACAGTAAGCGTCTGCGCCTGCGTTTGCGTTCGCGTCCACGTCGAGGGGGAGTTGCCACATTTGCATAACCGTTAATTGACAGCTGGCAACAGTGGCAGCACAGCAGCAACACCAGCTGAGACGCAACAAGCTAGTATTTATTTATGTATGTTTCTACCTCATAATCATGATCGATGGCCTGTCAAAGTCAAGAGTCGCTTGTGGCTCGGCCAGAAGCTCTGCGAACTGCGTTCAGAGAGTACTATGCGGAGAGCAGCAGCTCAAATGTCAACGTGAGTGTGGTATGTGGCATGTGGCATGTGGATACCCGTATGCGTATGGGGGTTTCTCTTCTATTCGTCTCAAGGTACGACTCCCTTGAAAAATGAAAGTTGTTTACCCGAACTAGTCGGAGCCACTTATCTGCTCGTCCTTTTTTTGCATAATCAAGGTTACTAAATCTCACATTCACATATCGCAGACGCAGTCGCAGACTGCTTTTCATTTTCGTTTCCATTTTCCCCTTTTGATGTTTTTTTTCCTTCATTTTTCTGAAGGCCGAACCAGTCGAGCAATTTTAACTGATGTCTTGACAACTTCCGCCAGCCGAGCCGAGTCGAGCCAAATGCAAATTGCATTTCAATAATTAAAGCTTAAAACTAGGTGGAAGCGGTGGGAAGCATAAAGTATATGTTTCAGCTGAGACCTTCTTACCTTCGTTAAAGGCCGCCAAAGCCAGAACGGCAAAAACCACAAACAGTTTTGCCATCTTTGACTTGACGCTGACTTGAAATCTGTTGAGTATTTCGTTCGTTTGCGCACACTTTTAGTTGGTTTTTTTTGTTGTTTCGATTAACACACAGTAAGGAAAAACACTGAATTTTTGGAGATCGACGGCAGAGAGCAAGTTTTGTCCTTCCGATCGCTATCAAAGCTCCATTTACACTGTCTGCTACGAACCGCGCACAATTTCTCGAACCCCTCTCTGACACCAAAGCCCCAGACGAAGTCGGATTTGCTTCTTTTATTACACGGCGGCCACGACGACGTCTCTTTCGTGCCACTGTGGTGGGTTTTGGAAAGCGTCGAGCGCACAGCAGCACCGTTGAGCTTTCTGCAGTCTCCGTGCACGATCCACGGCGGGGTAACTTGACTCTGAAATGCGTTCCACACGAAAGCTCTATTGAGTACCAGACAAGCTACCAAGCCCGGCTTTTTCTCGCTTGATTGTGTGTGTGTTGCACAAGTGTTTGGCTCGATCGTGACTGGATCGCTGCCCGAAAGAAGAGAGAAGTGCGGCACGTTGGTGGTGCTCTTTTATATGCAAAATGGTGGCGGGCGCTTTTCGGTCTCTAAGGGGTAACCATACACATCCACATCCACAATCTCATCCACTCTGCCCTGCACTGTGGTGAGTAGCTCTGTTGTGTGGACTGCAAGTGTGTGCGCCATGGAGTGGAGTGGAGTATGGAGTTTGGCTTTGCCATTATGCAAATGGCATTCTTGGCCATAATTTAGCTGCGACCATCTTGGCACTTCTGGCAGATTCCAGAAGGCCTCTTGGTTCTCTTGGCTCTGTCTGCTGTCTGTCGAACCTGGCCTAGCCCTCGCTTCTGTGCTGTGTCTCGGATGTGTGTCAGTCTGGGCGTGCCCACGCCAAACACACCATCAAAAAACCACTGCATTTTTAATGCCCCAATACCATACGTATTCATATGTTTTTAAAGTCGCTTCTTTTTTAATTATATCTGTATAATGCCCAGGCAGAGGGTATACGAATTTGTCAGTTGGGTCTGCCAACAGCGCGTATGCTTAATGTTTGCATGTATTATGCTGCTTCGAAAAGTGTATGCTATGTGTTCAACATACCAGAAACCGCTCAAAGAAAGATACATCTTTCCAATCTGTATTTATTTTTTGATTTTATTTTGATGGCGTGTGGTAGCGTCTCTCTGACGTCTCGTCGTCCCAATTTAAAAGCTGTTATTTTTTCCCCGCCGCGACCTTGATCATTTTAAAGCTAAATTAAAGTCGTTTATGGCCAACCGAGTGATACGTCGTGGCTGGACGGCTGCTAAATGACAGAGTGCCGTCTTAAGGCGTGACGAACTGCCTCCAGCCGAGAGCGTTTTTTTGTCGCCGTGTCCGCTGATCGCTGATGGCTGGACACCACAGGTTTAAAGTGTGCCAAAGTGTTTTGTCGTTGGACGAGAGACCTTTCCGAATTGTCATTGTCTAATTTTGCCACTCTTGACATTTGCATAGAGGAGTAAGGCTGCTTCTGCCCGGAGATTTCGGCTTGAATTTCCAATTAAGATTTAGTAAAATAAGTTTTGAGCAGTTTCCGCCTCAGCAGATTGGGCCAGCATCTGCCTGACGAAATGTACGTCAATTGAGGAACCAGTTTTCCCCATATCATCTCAATATGAATGTGATCATCTCGTTCCAACGAATTCTTGCAAAATCTTCAATGAAATTCAAGCTTAAAACCGCAAAATTCGTTTTTGCTTAATATAATCAATTTTCTGGTTTTTGGGAAGCACTTGTTCCTTTTCATTATCTTTTCTGTTAAGCTATTGCTTTTATTTTTTTTTTCTAAAACAAAATAAGATTTATGAGATAACTATAAAAATACTTCAATTCATATGCTGATAGCAACCAAAAGCAACAGTTTTAGTGTTATTGAGAGAAACACAATAATAAGCCAACTAATTGATTTTCGATTCGCTTCCCAACAAAAACACCAACAAATCTCCGATCGGTCGTCAAATGGTTATATTATGTTATCTGGCGCTTCCTTGTTTGAATTTATTCCATACCTCCATGTCAGTCAGCTTTTGTCAGACATCAATCAACATCTTGATAAGTCTGTCCGATCGATAGTTTTTTGTGTTTGCAGCGCAAAAAACGCAGGCGAATGCTTCACAATTTTATTGCAAAAAAATATATAATCCAATAAAAGGGTGTACTTAAAATAGGCGTATTCTCTAGAAAATTGATGCATCTATCAAATAAAACTATAATTTCAGGGCTCAGGGTTTTAGCTTGCTCTTAATATTAAGCAGAATATCAACATTAAGGAATATGATTTTATTCGGTACATTTTAAAAACGAAAAGGTATATTTTGGTATTCTTGTGGGGGTCGGACGGTATATTTGATCGATAAAACTGCGGTCACACTGCACAAAAAACGGCCGCCATATTTCACAGTTTATTTATTTTTTGTAAAAATCAAAACAAGATAATTAGAGAGCAAAAACCTAAGTAAAATGATGAATGTCAATTACAGTTTATGTACAAGGACGTAGGGACAACGTGCAGGCCCCATGTGCCCTCTTTTCCATATTTTTGATTATCATATTCCCAATTAAATCAATTTTCTTGTGGCTTTAGAACTCATACTGTGCTGCAATTCAATGTACGACACATCAAGCGTTGTGACTGGCGAGAACTGCTTCCGGGTGGGAGAGTTGTAAACCACGAGGATAGCTGACTGGAGCACCAACACGGAAATCACACAAGACCGGAAGATAAAACTGCAGGGATCGTGAAGAACTCGGCTGTGCTAAAAGTCGGCTAAAGGAACGCCAACACAAGCACTTGACAGGCGTCAATTTTGGGTTCGGTAACAGATTAACATGTGGAGCTCCATTACAACCTTTCTAGCGCAGAAGATCGAGGAAGGCTGGCGGGTCCTTGCCCCGGGAAAACATTACTATAACTTGTATTCTTCTATATTGGCTGCGATCAGGAGTACAAACTCTCCGTCGAAGTGGCTGATTTCGAAATCTGACAGTGACACCATGGGACACCATTAAGGCGCAGGCTAAGATTAACACATGTAAGATACATTATTAAAAAAACATTTTTGTATTGAGCGGATTTTCGAATAAAAGTTGTGCATACTTCGGGGTGCTCGGATAATATGGTCGATTTTTAAAGTATCTTTTGGGGGCCGCTGTTATTCTAATTAGTATGGCATACTTTCAGGCTAAAGGGGATGCCAATTACAAAAATGTATATAACAGCCGTATCCTGCAGTCCTTGTGGTCCTTGATGAATGCAAACGATGCAGTACACTCTTTCGCTGACGAAGATACATGGAACGTCCTGATATCCCAGGAAATAGCCGAGCTATTGGGCTGAAGGGATTTTGGTTAAAAACAACAATAAAATGGCATTATCCCCCATTTCTCCTACCATGGACTTTAAAGTCTGTTTTTGATTGGAAAATTGTTCTTGATTGGATGGAGTCCTTATTAAGGATCAAGGCTACAGGATAATTTTCCAAATGTTTGTGTTCTCAGCTCAGCGGAATCATTTTCCTGGAAGAGTCCTTATCCTATTCAAACCCAACCCCAGCCCAAAAATAAATACTTTTTTCAATTTTATTCATAAACAAAATTCGAATTTATTTTATAACTACACATTAAAAAGATTACACAATTAAAAAGAATTTAAAGGACATACGAGTAATAATTTTAAATTACAACTTTCAAAGGCAATAAATAGCAAACAGTTAGAGTTAGACCTAAAGGTAGTTTTAAATTTAGAACTGTGATTAATTCGAATGGGATAGCAGGAGTAAAACAATACACAACAATCGACATTTACAAATCGGTGATCTCGTGATGAGATTCGTAGATGGCGCAGGCCCCGCCGACGCCGCTGACGCTGCCAACGTGTGGTGGCAGTTTTCCGGAGGAGAAGTGATCCTCGCTGCTGATGGAGATGCGGGTAAGCAGCTCGGTCTGAATGCGCTTCAGCACCTCGACAACCTCGCTGAGTACGCCGCTCTGGGCGGCCTGCTGCATGGCTTCATTTGCGTCCACCAGAGCCTCATTCAATGCACCCTGCTCCATTCGCGCCTTGGCCCGTGCGTAGTAGCCCTCGTAGCTGTGCGGCTTCTGGGCAATCGCCTGCGTTGCCAAATCTATGGAATCGTCAAGTTCCTGCAACAATCAAGAGGGTTATCTTAATCACATGTGTATGTGTTTGCTATTGTTATTAGCTTCGACTTACATTCAATTTGCGCTTACAGCGCGACAGATTCAGCAGCAGATTGGTGCGCAGTTGGGCAAAGACCGCATTCCGCTCTAGGAGCTGCTCCAGACCGGAGATCTTGCGCAGCGCATATTGATAACGATGAGCTGCCTCCTGGAAGCGGTTCTTTCGGTACAGCACATTGCCGTCCTCGAGCAGCTTGTTCAGGAGCACCACCAGGATCTCCGGCTTGCCCATGGCCATGCTCCAGGTCGTGGGCCCCAGCTTGGCGCCCTTGCGCAGGAACACCTGCACAGCCTGGATGTTGCGGCAGGCGATGGCACGGTCCAAGGGTCGCATTCCATGCACATCAATGTGCTCCAGATTGCCGCCTTGGTCCAGCAGATACAGCACGAGTCCGGCTGCTCCCTGGTAGGCAGCTAGATCCAGCGACGTGCGTCCGTTGTGGTCCTCGTGGTGGCGGTTGCAGCCGTGCTCCAGGAGGCACTTGGTCGCCGCCAAGTGTCCCCGTAGACAGGCCCAACTCAGGGCAGTGAATCCCTCGTGATCCTGCGCTTCCAGCGCTGCTCCGCGTGCCAGCAGAAGTTCCACCAGCTCAAGGTGGCCCTCTTCCGCAGCAATCATCAGCGGCGTCTTACGGGTCTGGCCCAGCGGCTCGTCCACCAGCGCTCCCCTCTGAAGCAGCTGTTCCACCACGCTCCAGTGGCCTTCCTTTACGGCCAGCCAAAGGGCAGAGTATCCCTGCCGGTTGCGGGCATCGATTTGAGCGCCACGCGACAACAGAATGCAGACAACGTCCACGCATCCGTGTCGAGCGGCAGCCGTGAGCGCCAATTCGCCACTGCTCGGCTCCAGGCCATTGACATCCAGATCGAACTCGTTCTCGTTTAGGTCTAGCAGATCCTCGAGGATCTTGCAATGCGATTGGGCAGCGGCTCCGATCAGAGCCTGCTGCAGAGCCACAGAACGGCTCACATCCTGGCTGTTGGGACGCGGCGTCCACTCGCAGGCCAGCAGATACTTGACCACACTTAGGTGGCCCATGCGAGCGGCATGTACCAGTGCGCACCTCTGGGTGATGTCCAGCTGGCCGAGACTGCTGCCAGCGGCCACCAGCGGCCGCACCACATCGCAGTGTCCGCGCATGGCTGCGAGAATGAGCGGTGTGCATCCTTGGCTATTGGTCAGCCCCACGTCGGCGCAAAACTCCAGCAGCAGACTCACCATGGGCAGGATGCCCTCGTGCGCTGCAATGCACAGGATCGGAGCACCTCCCATGTAGTCCGTGCGATGGTTGGGCGAGGCGCCCGCCAGCAGCACCAGGCGGGACACCTTCAGGTTGGGACTGTACACATTGCGCAGAGCTCCGAGCGCTGCTGAAATATTGTCCGCCGCTCCGGCCAGCCAGTACGATTGCAGATCGCGGGGCGAGAGAATGGTCTGGCTGCTGCCGCCGTACAGATGCGCCTTGAGCATGTGGTGGCCCAGCTCCAGCGTCAGTTGCGGCGACAGGGGAGCCTGGAGTCTCGACAGGCGGAAGGCAATGGCGGCATGGCCCAGCCGGGCATCGCACAGGAACTTGCTGGACTCGCCCTCGTCCCGGCGCATCAGCCACTCCCGCAGCGAGCTGTGGAAGAACATGTAGGTGTTGTCCAGTCGCTTGATCAGGAAGCCATCGAGCAGCTTGAAGCGCTGCATAAAGTCCGGCCAGCTGAGTGGCTCCTGGCCGTGGCTCAGCGCCTCCATGCTATAGTAGATCTCGTCCAGTGTCAGCGGGTAGAGGGCCGCCAGGCAGACGTTCAGTATGGGCGCCGCCTGGTCGAAGCTGCGCGCGGTGGGGAAGCGCAGGTTGAAGTGCAGCAGAAAAATCTGGGCCAGCGAGACGGGCAGCACCTTGTAGCTGGAGGACTTGATCACCAGCTGGCCACGTGCAATGAGATCCAGGATGAGCTTCGCATACAGCATCGAGCCGCGACTCAGCGACTGCAGGTGGGACACGAACTTGGTCTGTGCCTGTGCCGGCTGCCCCTGTCCGGAACTCGCTCCTCCGATGTTGTGCTGTATGTCCGTGCTGTGCGACAGCCTGGCCCCTATGTAGTCCAGCATGTCCTGCTGCAGCGACTGGCTGCTCGCCCAACTGTCGAGCGTGAGCTGCGTGTAGCTGGGCGCCTTCACCAGCTCCAGCATCTGGGTGCGCACGGTGGCCACCAGCTTCAGCCAGGCTGGGAAGTGGGGCGTCAGTTGTGCCAAAAAGCTGGCAATGGTGTGCCCGTGGTCGGGTCGATGGTACTCCGCCTCGCAGAGCGCATCCACCAGGATGACGGCCACCTTGGCGGGAATCTTGCCCGCTCGATGCAGCTGCGCGAGGGGCTCGAGGATGGCCAGCTTCATGACGCGCTCCGCATCTGCGATGCACTCGCGCACACTCAGGATCTCCTGGAGATGGGCCTCCGAGAGCAGGTAGTCGCGGTACGCCGTCAGCTGTGGCGCTTGGCAGAGCTGCGCTGCCAGAGAGTGGACAAAGTCCGGCACCTGGCACGTGAGATTCGCGTCCGCCTGGCAAAAGTGGTAGCCCACCATGTGGGAGGCCAGGCCGCGCATGCGCTCGTTGTGAGAGCCCAGCTGGAGCTGGCTGTAGATGCCATCAGGGTCCTCCTGCATCTGGCGACGGCCGAAGCACGAGTACTCCACCAGCTGCAGGCAGAAGGCGGTCTTGCCCGTGCCCGGCTGTCCGTTGATCAACACCACGCGGGTCTCGGTGCCGAGGAGTATGTTCGAGAGCTGCTGCACCAGCCACTGGCGGCCGACGTACGGCGGATCTGGCTCCTGCAGCGGCACCTCAAAGAACAACGGCTTCAGGGCCAGCTTCACAGCAGCCAGCGTGGATCCCGCCACTCGATTGCTTGCCGCAGCGGACGCCTGTTGGCTGGTTCGCGTCGAGCGTCGGGTGGCGCCCTTGCGGCTCTTGCCGGGCAGCGGCAACGCCTCGTATACATGCAGCATGGAGCAACCGACCTTGAATTTGCTGGACAGGCTCAGAGTGTCATCCTTGGCCAGGTGGCTGGTGGCCACCGACAGCTGACTGCCGCTGAGCAGCCCCGCGCAACCGCCACTGGCCAGCGTCTGTTCGGGGCTGACGTTCTGGGAGGAGCTGCTCGTGGTGGTGCTGCTGGCGGCACCCACTCCGCTGCTGCTGGTGGTGCTCGTCGAGTGGGGCGAGGGATCGCTGCTGCTCGAGTTGCCATTGCAATTGTCGTTCAGCAGCAGGCCCAGCCGTGCATGCAGCTGATCCTTTTGCAGCTTCTCGTTGAGAAACGAAGAGTGATGGTCCAAGGCATCGCCGCCACCTGTGAAGCAAGATTAAGGCAGAATTAGGACTGTTTCTATTTAAAGATACTTTAAAGAACATGCAAAAGAAATAACGTAATGTTTTAGGCAACATATGATGCAAATCGTAAGGTTATGGGGTGCATAAAACACACATGCAAAAACACATCTGAAACTGGAACAACTGAAGTAGATGGATTGTTGGTATTGCCTGCTAGTTGATTGAGTCCCGCCTCGCTCGAGTTGGACGAGTTGACGCTCCACAGGGACTTGATCTTGCCAAATACCAGCGAGGACAGGTGGCCCGCGTAGACTGAGGTGCCAGCCAGGCTGAGTCGATTCAGGCGATTCTCACTGTTGGCCGAGGTCGAGGTCTTTAGGTTGTTGCTGCTGACGCTCTTGCGGCGTCTGCGGGTCACCGCCGAGTCCGAGCAGGTGGAGGTGTTCAGGGCATTCGATTCCTTGCCTCTCGCTTGCTCATCGCGATGATGATGATGATGACGTTGATGATGATCTGGACAACGATGATGATGATTGGTTGAAGGTGCTGGGTGAATGTTTGGCTTTCTTTTGGTTTTGTGGGAGGATTTGGGAGGGAACCTAACCCAGGCTGAACCCAGTCTAAACTTACCGCCAGTCAGGATCGAGGCCGTGTCAATGGGACAGCCTCCGTTCGAGGCTGTGCGTCGATGGCCCCCGCCTCCGCCTCCACCTCCACCTCCACCGCTGACTCCGCCACCACCTCCTCCTGTGAGGGCGCTGCGCAGATTCTTGTGGTTGAAGAACCGCCTACGCGTCGGCGGTGTGGCAAAAGCCGGTGGTGCCGCACTCAGTTCGCTGTACGCCGCCGCATGGATGTTGTGGCTGAGACTGTTGCTGCGGCTGTGGTTGTGGCTGTGGCTGTGGATGATGTTGCTTTGCTTGCCGCCAGCCCCAGTCCCATTTCCAATGCCAGCTGGCCCATTGTGGTTGTGCACATCCACGGTGACGGTTTGTGTGGCTCCAGCCACGAATCCATTGCCATTTGTCGATGCTGCAGCCACAGCCACAGCCGAAGCGTTGGCCCGCGGCAGTTTGCCATTGCTCGCATAGCGATGGAAGTCCGGCGACTGCGACTCCTGGCGATGCTGCTGCAAGTGAGAATAGAGTGGAGCATTAGAGCTTTATCAATGATGAAAGTCTTTTGGGGATTCGACATGCTTCGTCAGTGCTGGCCTCGTGGGGGAAAGGAAAGGCGTTGCACATCGATTGGTGCCATATGAGAGCGCTCGCGCCACAGGGAGCGTAGCTACAACGAAGAAAGCGTTCCACAGATTAATCTGGACTCTTTCTAGCTCCTAATCAGCCAAGCCAAGCCCACCCTTCAGTCTCAACCCTATCCTATCTAAAGGCCATGTCCGAGTCCACACCTTGTCCTCGCACCAGACATAATCATCAGTCAAACAATCGGGCGGAGCCTTATCGGACTCTGCGTTGGCTGTGGAGTCCTCAGACTAAAGTGCAAGCCAATTTCATTCGCCTTATGAGCAGTCAGGCAGGGCTGGGTCTTAGTCATCGTCTAGTCCAGTTCCCCTCAGCCTTTCGTTGGGGACTTCGTCTTAATGAACTGCAAATCATTTTGCGGCTGTGTCTGCGTTGGTTTTCCTGTTTCTGTTTTTGCTTTATTTTGTGTCAGAGTTTTTAGGTAGGCAGAGACCGAGACCGAGACTCAGACTGGACATAAAACGTGAGAGCTAGAGTGTCCAGAACGCAAGTCGGAACCCGTTCCTTGCTGTGTGGGATAATAAGATGAAATTGGTTTGCTTCGCCAGACAAAGTCCATTAGTTGACAGTCAGGAGGGAGCAGCCAGGAGGCAGGAGGCAGGAGACAGCAGTCTGGAGGCGTGTGTGTTGTGAGCAGGAAGATGGCAGGTGGTGGGACCCAAAAGTCCTCTCCTCCTTTGGGGACTGGACTTTAGACCTAAATTATGGAGGGACTGTTATGAAATTAATTGAATGGTAAAGGATACCCAGGAGAACTGTAAACTGCTTTGAAGGCTTTGATTTTCGATTAGATGTCTGCAAGAGCTGCTGAATTTATGGCAGACTGCCAGGAGGAGCATCTCAGAAGAGCTCCACGGATAAGTTAAACCTTCAACGGATGTCTCCACACTTCGCCCACTTCCGCTGTGGATGTCTGCCCACAGACTGCAGACTGCTGTCTGAGACAACCCACCAGTCTAGTCTCTGGACCTGCTTAAGTCTGCTGAGTCTGATGTCTGAGTCGTGATGAACTCCCTGGAGAAGTCATTGTCGCTCTGGTGCTCCTCAATCTCAGAGATCAGCTGGGGAATGCAGTGGAGTCAATCTCCTTTCTATCCGCCAATGGATCAATGGAGATCTTCTGTGGCTACAGTTCCGCCTCTACTTGGTCGTAATTAAGCAGCGGTTCGCTTTGGTCCATTTCGTTGCGCTTCACCTTGCCTCACCTCGAGACCCAACCCCACCTGGCCCAGCCACACACACACATGCACATGCATTGCCACACACTGCTGGGTGAAAGAAAGGCTTTCTTTAAACTAGTTCGGCGGCGCCTGGGGTGTCTCTGGGTCTGGGCCTGGCACTGGCACTGGCACTGGCACTGCCTCTGGCTGTGGCTCTCTTATCGCTTCGTCCGCTGTGGCAGGCATCCCGCGGTGGCGTTTTAATTGGCCCCATCTCTTTGATTAAGTTGTAGTGGGGCCAGCCACACGAGCTACGCTACGACGTTATGCTTTGGAAAATAATTAACAAATTATGCCTGACCATAGACGGGCATGGAAAATGTTCAAATTGAAAAAAAAAACACAGCGAAAAAACAACAACATCTCGAAAGGTGATTTTCACTTTTTCCATTCGGCGGCAGGCAGGCAATTCAATAAAATTTGCACTGCTGGATGCAAGATTAAGGTGATTGGAGGAGACATTGATCTCCCATCAAGCGGAAAGCCACGAAATAAAGATGCGTTTTATAGGGGAACTTAAATCCATAGATCCTACGAGAAAAAGGAACTGCTTTGCTCACATTCTAAAGTCAACAAATCAACCTAATTTAGCTGATAGTTTTCGTTTAATTTATAGCAAATTACAATCGTGAGAACACACCAAAAAAGAGTCGTTATAAATTGTCAAATGTTTGGCTGAACTTTAACCGCACCCCCGGCAAACAAATGAGCAGAACAACCAATTGACCGACTCTCCAAGCTCTAGGCTCTATGCAGAAAGTATCTACACAGAGAACCGGATCGGATTGGATTGGATTGGCTTTGGACCCCAAGGGGAGTCGTCGTTGTGGATGTTGTTCTTGCAGACTCATTGAGGCGCAGGTGTAATAAAGCCAGCTGCCACAGACGGAGCCCAAAACGGGCCCAAGCATCGTAATTGTAATATGACAAACCCGCATTAATTTGCTCGCAAGCGAAACAAGAGAAAAACGGCAGAAACTTTAGATATTGTACCTCAGAAAACCAAAAACCGAAACCAAAGTCAGGCTTTGCCGCAAGAGGCAGAGAGACAGGAGTCTCGGGCAATGCAATTACAGCAGCGGCAGTGGCAGCAGCAGCAGCGGCATTTAATGACCGAGTCCGGCAAGCTGCCAACAAGATTAATGGTTCATTCAAGAATTCGATTTTCGACCACAACCAGACTACCTCCTATCAAAAGTATCTTTTTATTTTCGCTTTTTTTTGGCGGGTTTTTAAAACAAGAAAGAGAAGAAAAAAATGCATCTCATGTTTAGCTGCGGGGCGTTGCAAGAACAACTACAAGTACTACGTACAACCGCGTCACAGATCTCTCGACGGTCCCAGACATTGTGACACCAACAGCGGCAGCAGCGGCACCAACAGCAGCCCCGTTCCGACCAACTTGTTTTGGCCATTATTTTCATTAGGGTGTGGGCCCACCAGCCGTAGCCGTAGCCGCAGCCGCAGCCGACTGGCAGGCTGGCAAAAATAAAATGATATTTCAACAAGCGTTGCTTGTGTTGAAAAATAATTGTATAAATGTCATAAAATAAACCACACAAGCACAGCGGAGGGTCAGGTCAATGAGCAGCAGGGGAAGGGAGGAAATCACTTGCCCGAAAACTTTTGGAATAGACTCGCAGATACACAGGCTAAATGTTGATATTTTAGGTAGATAATTACGACTTATCCATTATTTTTAATTGATATTTGAAACATATTCATTGCAGCTCGTAAATGATCTCGCTACAACCCATAATAAACCTCGCACTCAAGGGCATTCCATCCCAGTGCAACAAGACAAATGTCTGTGATCACGAATCGCTCAAGAATGAATGATAATCTGTTCGAGCAACATTTAGTGGTAAATCATTACCAAATATCATGCAGAAAATGTGTTTTTTTGTGTGGCAGCCTCACTGGCATTTGCAAATCGCCTGCAAATCGCCCACTTTGCCTCCAATGCAGAATCGTCGCTCTTGTTGGCGTTTGGCCCAAAAGCGTCGATAAAGTTGGTGCCTCCAGCACCCAGCATCCAGCATCCGGCACTGTTGTTGGTGCTGTAAAAATATATCTCTGGTTAATGTATGCGCACTCAGCTCAGCTCGAGTACGAGTATCTGTTAAAGATTGCCAAATTTTTGTGGCTGGCATTATTAAAACATATTTCTTGTATTGTAATCATGGCCGAATGTTGGACAAGTGTTCTAGTCCCTGGCCTGAGTGTGAGTTGTTTTTTTTGCGCAAATGGGTTTTGCGTGTACAATTGAGAATAGAGTGCAGCAGTGCACATTTCAGCACTACTTCTGGGACGTTCTTCGAGTGTGGGTATCTATGAACATTACACAACCGCACAGCAAGGGGAAAAACTTTCGCCACGGTACGTGGATCCATAAACAAAAGCGCGCTCTCCGCATCCCACAAAATTTAATCAGTTGAATAAACAAATCGATGAAGAAAAAAAAGAAATGATAGTAAATCAGAGGCAAGATAGAGCTGTCGACGGCGAAACATTCCGGCAATTGCAACCGAATTGAGTGAGAAATTACTCGACAGACTGGAGTTTGGTTCGGATCGGTTTGGTTTGCTTCCAACATGCTCATAATTAATTGACAAGCTGGGAATTTGGCTTTCAAATATAAATCAATAGTGGGGACAGCCAGCCAGCCAGGCAGGGAAAATGCCGTGTGCAGTGCCTGCTGAGCTCAGTGCGGTGAGAAAAATTAATGCATTTACTTAACGATCGATAAATTTAGTTAAAAAGCCGCTCGACGACAACCGAATTGCGCAAAAATATTATGACCATCGCCATGTGGCATATATCATCAAAGGCGGCCCCTCGGACTCTCTGACTCTGACTCTGACTGGGCCAAGATACGAGGAGTGCGACTAATCCAACAGCAAGATCAACCAACGACCGAGAGCCGCCGAACAAGACCTGAGAAATTGTTTTTCGACATGCAAATGCCGTGCGATTTATTTGAGGAAGCGGCTCGCATGCCAAACCAACACAAAAAACTCCCAGCGATACTCGCAGATGAGCAGAGTAAGTGGGAGATACTACAACGAGTAGTGTGAGATATAGATAGATAGTTAGAGAGACGACTAGTTGTATCGGGTGAAATGGGTGAGAAAAGATATACAAATATGCAATGGCGAAATGAAGTTGTTATTTGTTTGGTCATTTATTTATGGCATTTGGAAAGTTGAAAATCTTTTCGCTATCTGCCATGTGACCTATCGCAGCAGCAACAACAACAACTGCATGACAACTAATACTGTATTGAAATAAACTCAGTCCAATTGCAGATGCAAATGCAATTGCAAGTTCAGAGCTTTCACACAGAGACCGTTCCACGAGCAGCAGCAGAAGCTTCTCGGCTGCTAATTGAGGGACAGAGCTTTCTAAAGCGCAATGCTCTGTTTATTGCTTTCTCTCTCTCTCTCTCTCTCTAATATCGCATCTTCCCACAGTGCATTCTCTTCGTTTCTGGAGGTGCCAAACTCATTACTACGGAGCATGCAGCAAACTCCATGACTTTCCACAAGAGAGTCAGAGTCAGCCCCATAAAATATATAACTACTATGTGAAAGAAAGCCCAGAAATCATAAAGCAAATAAGCCAAAGACCCTAAAAAATGTTCACAT